GGAGCATGAAAGTGAAATGAAGATAAAAATCAAATTAAGTGAGCTGGCAATCAAACGAGTCTAGCAATTGTAACGCCAAACCACTTCGGAAATGCGAATAGCCTCACCTTTAGGAATTTAACAGCTGCAATATTACCGTCCACTTTCAGTACTATTCCGACCGGTTGCGTCCTACCATCTTCAACGAAGATGACATCACGCAAACACCAGTCCTCCTCGGATGTGACATTGATTGCAGTTGATGGATTCTCTGAGGATATTTTACCAGCCACGTCTGACGATTGGTTAGGAGCATCGGTCGCATTAGACAAACGTCTAGCAGTATTACTTATCACACCCGAACCCGACTGAAATTCCCGATCAGCTGAACGACCACGACTAGTACGGGTGCTAGAGTCGTAGTCTCCACGGTCACTGGAATTACTTGGAATCTTTTTGCGCTCTGTAAACAAAATATAAGTTTGTTTGAAACCGGTCAAAAATTTAAAAATGCACAGTAAATAAATGTTGCAATTGATTTGAGCAGATCTACAATATTTACAATAGTTGCAATTGAAATCCAACGAATACAATTCCAAGTACTTTTTAACTAATACAAGCATTCGAATTTTGTCCCTAATTGAACCAATCCTGACTGGCATTTTATTCAGCTGCTGCGTCTTACGATTAGATCTGTACAATCTAAGAAGTTGCAAGTCTCTCGGTGTAAGTATACCTTCATTTGGGCTCATTGGGGCAAATACATCTAACGATGGTCGCTGGATTGTAATTTAGCTTGGAAATATAGACGCCAAGGTGAATAGCTTCCTCGCTTATTCAAAACTTTTTATTATAATATCAGAAGCATCAATCAATACAGATTGAAAAGCGAATTCGTAAATCTGTTTGCATGGGCAGTGGTTCGACGAACCTGAAGCGTCCGTGTTCACGTTAAAACAAACCAAAAGACGTGGAAGAACGCTAAAAATAATGGAAGAAAGTTGATCAACTTACTAAACGTTCCGGGACTGACACGTACGGGTCCAGATTGGTCACTGCATGTTGACGAAGCAGGTGATGGTGGTGGTGGCATTTCTTGAAAAGTTAGATTGCTAGAACTGTTCGCTGTCATCTGGTCGCCACCAGAGATTATACTCGGTGAGGCGGCAGCGCTGGTTGATGCGGAAGCATGAGTAGGATAAGGTCCGCCGCCGATCCCGACCGCGTTCCCTGTATTGGCACTTAGAGCATGAGGACACGTCAGCAAGTGCTGAGTGAGGTCTTCCGCATTGCTACAAGCGCTAATCACCCCGTCTGTGGACGCATTGGACAGTGTGACATTAGATGAGGTAGAGGACGCGGAAGAGTTGACACGAAATCGGCAAACATCGGTAATCTTCCAAGCGTCCTCTAGCAATGTTCCGACCTGAAACAAGAAAGTGAAGATGAACTTATACAAGTGAGTTCCAAACATTTCTTTCTTCCAATCTATCCTCCCTGATAACAGCATAAAAAACGTGGAAAGATTCTGTCTCTCAGGTGCTTAAAAATGGATATGCAAATGAATATATGAAAAATTATCGTACAGTATCCGTGGTTTTGTATCAATAACTAGAACTCTATCTTAGAATTAAATGCTAGGTTCGGGATTGAGGAATATATACAGACAGCATTGTTTTCCCGGATGACCAAGCCGTTTTCCTCAAGGTTTTCACCAACGGTATATAAACGTCCAAGAACGAATCTATTAGACGGCCACTCGTAAATATTCACTCACATCATTTTCTTGAATCCCCGCTCTTTGGCTATAATGGAAACTTCCTTGTTTTTTCGGGTGACTATTTTATTTGCTGCATTGCTAATGCAAGCTACCAACGATTCAATGAACATCAAGTAATGGTAGACAAATATTTTCAATTCATAAAAAAACATTTCATTGAAATATCACATGTTTGCCCAAGTTGAAAACAAGTGGTGAAAAGATTACCGCATTAAACATGAGCAGCACACACTTCACCCAGTGATTGTTGAGCAGTCAAATGTGCGAGTCCCTAAGGCGAACACTTAGACTAAGCGATGTGTGGCGGACTGCGTCGAAGCTGTTTCGAAGCCAAAACTTAGTGAGCACATGACTGAAGGACAAAGTTCCAGACTCACTTGTTCCTGTGGAACAACGTACATAGGCCTCACGGTCAGGCGATTGTCCGAACGCGTAGGTGAACACCACCCCGCGTGGCTGAACACCGGAACGATTAAGTCACTCACCAGTGCAGTGGTTTCACGCCTAGCTGAAACAAATCACACCGTGAACGTGTGCGAGGCTTTCCGACCCCCGTACAAAGTTAGTGGGCGATTATCGAGGCAGGTTCGCTGTCGGATGTTAGCTACGGTTCTGCCGAATGCGGTGGGCATTCGTCTGCACAACCCCCTCTGAGCCCAAAAACAATTTGTGCAAGCGCTAAAGCTTCCCTGGCCCACCCCCCATACAAACCGCATCGTGAGTAACCTCGATGATTGGATGAGTGAACAAACAAACGTGCGATCGTGGTGAACCCAACTTCCGGTCTCACGATGAAATCGTTTCTAGTTATCTGTGTTTTTATTTTATTTTATTTTCCCATGACAACTTTATTCCCAAGTAGTGACATATATTGAGACGTATTGGCCTGAATACGAATCTCTGAAAACGAGCTTGTTCGCCACTGTTGTTTTGTTTGAAATGTGCTTTGTGGGATTATTTCAACACATGATAAATCTAAAGCCTTTTATTTATCGTATCAGTATACTTGTGTATCGCAAGTGATATTGTGGGCTTGAATGCAGTTAAAGTAGGCGAATGTTACACAACGGAATGCTTTTTTGTGGTAGGCAGCTAGGCTACCGTCCGGTTCAATACCACACCTGACCTATCGGGGCCTTATTTGGTTCAACAGTCCAAGTCCCAGGGCTTAGGTTGCCGGTTAAAATCACTAAACCACAGATCTTGGTGACTATGGGACTTTCCTCGTCTACTGTTCGTCACATGGAAGTGTAATAAAAAATATAAAAAAATAACAATAATTAAATACGGTAGAAAACAGGTAATACGATGTAATATGCTGAAGTGAAAAGTCGAGTGACCTAATCAATTGCGATTAGTTGGTGTGAATGATATACGACAGTAAATACGATTTCATTCCATAGCACTCAGAAACAATGGCAAATCTTGCCCATTGGCTTACAATATCCTGGGTAAGGTTGGTTTTAGGACCGTCAGATCAATTTCGGGACATACCTTAGGGACACCGCCAACAACTGTGAAACCAATGGCACCAGCATGAAATATTGGGGCACTTTTCATGCGTACAAAGGTACCTGGAGTAACACCGGATGAAAGTGATTGCATATTACGTTTCAGCGCACGTTCTTGACGTCCACCAGATTTTCCTCCGCTGGTGTTGGTGCCCCGAGAAGACACGCTCGTTCGATGTTGGCGGGATTTTTCGATGGTACGCTGACGCATATATGGCGGGTATACACCCCTATTACAGAACAGTGCGGTTGCAAACAATGAAAAGAAAAGGTTGAATTGCAATAAGCATGCTTTACATTTCGTCTGTAACGGAAAAAAATTGCCGTAAATTTAATCTAGCAGTTGAACTGAAGAATCCGTTAGAAAACCGATTGTGGTTATTTCCACGTAACGAGACAGAAACAATTTAACTGCTTATCTTCAGAGAACTGCAAAATTGGTACTCCGTCCTACTATACAACATTGTGACAAAGTATGAGCAGCAACACTTCTGAAAAAAATTCAGGATTTCTGCGAACGGAATTGTGCTTGATTCACTGCAAATGATGGACAACTGAGTGACAAATATGCAGATAGAAGTACCGCAATCCGGGGCAGTGTCATCGCACCAGCCACTGCGACCTGATAAAAGTTACCCACCCATTGTCCTCAAAGTATACCCAAAATCTGGCCCCTTTCACGTCACGTGTTCTGTGTATCCGTCGAATCTTGAGTATTACCAAACCCTTAAAAACCATCTGAGATATTTCCCACTCCCGAATGCGGTGAACACCCTAACTCCAATAAGTGTTGCTCCATCGCTCTCATGATAATCTCTTGTAAAAATACGAAATCAGTTCACAGTTGACGAATTCAGTCGTTAACCATCGGAGAACGAGCGGCTTAGCGACCGTGAGTACGGTTTTCGGCTTTGTCAATCTACCGGTGATCTGCTAGAGCTCGTTTCACAGCAGCATTCAATAGAAAGAAATGCATATGGTGTTATTAGATATATCGGAAGCTTATGATTATGTCTGGTACGCATTCTTGCTGGTTAAGCAATTGAAGTGCAGATTCCCCTCATAACTAGCCGCCTAGACAGCAAGTTTTCTCAATGACCGTATCGCCTTCATCTGAGTCAACAGGACCATGGTTAGCTCCGTATCTGTAATCTTCTTGATCTTTCTGTGTACCTTCCACACTCCCACGTTAGACTTTGCTTCCCCTCCCTCTGCATCACTTTACAAAGCTAGGATTCGTTGAACACTTGAATACTACAGTAACGTGCGGGGTGGAACTTCGTCTACTTCTCTGGTTCAGGGGAACGTCTTGCGTCCCATCAACGACCCTGTCTTAACATGTAGTCACTAGGTCATTGTCGGGCGGTTGCTTCNNTCCACCGCTACTATTTTGATCTCTGCTCAACTGAACAAGCTCCCGTCCCACTTCCACTTATTATTCCTCGTAGGCTCGGTATTCCATTATAAGTGATGATCCTCAGTTGTTGTATTTCTAACCTCTGGTCGTCTTTTTCGTGTGAAACTCAACATAGGGAGGAACT